TAGTATTGGTAATTGTTTTGGCCCCTGTATATTACTTTCAGGCATGTTGCGACGATGATGCGGACCCTAAATAGACAAAGTCAATCAATCACCCACTCGCGTAAGGGTGTCTTACAGGTTCTGTGTTTGGGTTCGGGGCAGTTTAGGGGCTACTATTTCCAGAGTTGTGGATTGAGCGCCGACGTCTGGTTGTGCTCACATCCGCCAGTGAAGATGTCCCCTGCCAATGTCCATGTTGAGACCCTGAACTAATGGATATCTCCTCGGGCACAGGTTGGACGTGCCTGTTGTCGCAGCTGCCGACAGTGCATTGGATGAGCTGCTGGCAGAGGCGCCGCAGTTGAGCGCCTCCACGTTGAAATCCTAAATCCTGGAGCCTAAACCCCTCAATCGCTTTGTCTCGAGAAATGCGTCAAGTTCGCCTCTTTGCCCCAGAAGTTGGCCCAAGAGCAGCAGAAGGTTTCGGCTGAGAGTTCGGCTTAGGATGGCTCTTTTCGCTAATACCGTGGTGGAAGGCCATCGCATCAAAGCTTGGGTTTGCGTCATCAGCTTGTACGCCGTGCCGACCTTGTTCTTCGCTTACCAATCGCGAGCCATCTGGTTGGGTGAGCCAAGCATGCAGACATCTATGTCTTCATCATGGGGTAGCCTGCCTTCTTTCCTGGTATGCGCGGGAGCGGGAGGAGGATCACCGTACCTCTCTACCATGAAACTGGCCTTGGCCTTCACACGTCCGGCTTTCAACCCGGCGCAAAGGCTCGAGTCAACTACACGGATTTGTCACGCTCTCACAGCTCACAGCTAGCAGCTAGCAAAGCTGGGAAGGTGCATGGTCATCAATGCTACCGGCATGGAGCCTCTGGGCGGGATCGTACGCCCAGGCCTCAGGGTTGAGATGTATGTTGAAGCAGCACCTGGCGCCAAGCCCGCCGAGCACCTCTTCCTGGTGAGCCTCGACCACAATGCATTGCTAAAACTGCAACCGCTAACAGGAATAGTGCCCGGCGTCACCGTTCTCGAACTTCGCAAGATCAGAAAAGGATGGATTGGCACCGGTTCCACAATCAAGGATGAGCTTCTAAACGTTGTGACCCAGTTCTTGGAGCCGACCTTGAAGAACAGCTACAGCACTCAGCTTTTGTACACCGTTCCAGACCTTGAGATCGAGACTTGGGAGTTGACTAATAAGACTCGTACGTTGATGAAGAAATTGTCTCCTAAGCTGCGCAAGAAGCTGGGGCCCCTATTGCAGAGGCAGAAGCAAAACTTCCAGTTTTCCATCAAGATTGCGGCAGATCATGTCATGGAGGAGGTGGAGATTGGCCGCATCCCGCAACTTCTCTACTTGCTGTCGCGCATTGGTGGGTACATGTCGTTGCTCAGCCTCAAACTTCATTTCTTTTTTGTAAAGCGCTATCCCGACAGCAAAGCTGTACAGACATACGAGGCGAAAACACTCTTGTGGAGTGATGACGCTCCGGAGGGGCCTCCCGACAATCATACCAAGGCCGATCCACGAGAGATGGAGACTGCCTAAACCGGGATAGCAATTTGTTTTTTGCATGCCTGCTGTACTGAAAACATGGGCTGGATCTTCCACCACCGCCCGGGTCGGATCTTAACGACCGCCCTGCTTGTTGGCTAGGCCTGGACTTATCCGGCCACATTTCAGCCCGCTTTATCATTGATTGCTGGGGACCTGAGATTCGGGTCACATGTGAAAGCCTCCAAGCAATTACTTAAGTACTGTGCTTCCGACCGAGACCTTTCCTTCTGTGCGCTGCGAAAAACGTGCTCAGCCTGCACTATCAGCCTGGCAAGCGAAGTTGGCTCATTCCGTGACGCTCTCGGACTAAAGCGCTGCATCAAGTGTCCATGCCTGAAACTCGATTTCAGGCCACCCGTGCTGGACTTCGCACGTCGGTGGCTCACTCGCCACTCGGTGTCGCAGTTACGGACAGATCAACTTGCGGTTTCGATGGCTTTGCGGTCGTCGCCAGAAAGTTGAAACATCAGTGACCTAATGCCCCGAAGGTGAAGCAAGGGGAATCCTTGCACTAATCATCCTCATCCAAATTCCAATTTTCTGGGGTTCACTAAAGAGTCTTCGGCTTCCGGGTTTCAGGGTTTATGCCTCGTCGGTTGGCTAGGTTTTGAATTGAATCTTTTGGGTTCAGAAGCATATAGGATGCAGGGCTGGACTTCGGAGTGCAGGATTTCAGGGTTNNTTAGGGCTTTCGGGTTGAGGAGTGGGCGGCACTTCTACGATTCACAGCCAATCTAGCCAGGACGATAGCAAACAACTAGTATAGAATGGCAGCGATGCTGAGGGTGTGGAACTGAAGATCCGTGGTACTCCGCGTCAGTCCGTTCAGCGCCAAAGCGCGGTCTCATGAACCCCATCACGCCTAGCCTGGGCCGAGGCCGTCATTCTAAACCTGAAGGCCTACGGACCTAAAGTCCTAAAAGCGCTGCCACCACTAAAACCGAAACCTCAGCCCTATGACTCAAACCCTTATCACCCAGCACCAAAATCCCAAGCCTTTAACCCTAATATAGGGGCAATAGGGTTTGGGGGTATATTATAT